TGTGCTTTTCAGCACGAGCGCTCTCGGCGTTAAACCATGGGCGAGCTTTACCACCAATGGGCACGTCTGCAAAGGGGATGAAATACTCCATCGCTTGACGTATCACATTGGTTATGGCATCCGCACAGCTCGACGGGTCTTCAGAGGAGAAGCAGACCTGCCGCCAAGGATAAGATGCAAAGAAATGCCGTATCTCATCCCAATCTGCTGACAATCTCCACACTCGTCGCACACCGTAAATATCGGTTAAAAACTGTCACACATACCTCATGCGTGGAAAAATCCATTGTTACACAAAAATAGACGTTCAAATCGTTCAAACAGATCATAAAATATATTGATAGTAGTATCATCTCATCAATTTTCTCGAAAACTACAGATAACAATAAAGTAACAACAAAAAGAAGCACACTGTCACACTCACCTCATTGATGGGTAAGTGTAACAGTCTTCCACCTTAATTAGTTGTAGTTAGCTCAAAATACAAAATATGCTACTTATAGATACTAAAATGCTTGACCAAACAAACAACCATTTAATAATTGATGTTTTGAAACGGAATAATCTATGTTAAACCCTTACAGAGTAGAAGTATTAAGATGTTGATTTTAGTTTTAATTAATTTATGTCACATTTGCCTCGGATGACATCTATAAGCGTCGAGAGGGTTAAAGTTAAAAAACTACTGACTGACAGCGCCATCGAAGTTTTCGGACGTCTGAATAGCAAACAAAATTTGTTCACAAGCAATGTCCGAACATGCACAACCTCTGTTAGGTTCAAAGTAAAATGCTGCCCTTAGATAACACAAGAATCCCTATTCGGAGACTGACAAAGCACTTCGAACAGCTAAAGCTGTTCTCCAACAAAGTGCACAATACTTTGTCAACTCGTACTGGTCGGATCTCAGTCACTCCAGGCAAGCGTGTGTGGACTGAAGACACATGAACATTACATGGTACCAATGAAGGTATCAAACAGGTTCTCGGACCTGCTGCTAAAAAGACACCCTACCTTAACGAAATAAATGGCGCTATCATCACGATAGTCAAAAACAACTCGAGTCCCGTGTATCTACAACTGGAGACAAATTGCAGAGCATGCCTACAAAGGATGTATGGACTGTACTAGATGATTTACCGCCAATAGATGTATTCACCGTGGCTGTCAATTGATTTAAATGCAGCAAGATTCCCTGCGACAACGACACCCAGGCCGAAATACTTAAACTCTAATGCGTGAGACCAATCTTGTAAAATCTGCTGTGCAAATGCTGGTAAGCGAGGTATGTGCCTCATTATATGTGTCACCCAAATATCACTACTCTATATAAAGGGAAAACGATCGTGGCGCCTGTAACAGTTACCATGGTATTTCTTATTTGTGTATAGTTGACAAGCTCTTTGGCCTAGTCGTTCTATCTATACTCTAAAAGCTTGCAGAAAGAGACTATCCAGAGGCACCCGTACATGTGGCACACACTTTGTAAACTACATGCGAAGTGTCGAGAATAAAGTATCCCTCTATTTGCAGCTTTCATTAACCTTAATAAATATACGATACGGTCAACAACTTATACACAGCGCTGAAGAGCATTGGGTGCCCATTTAAATTCCTGAGCTTCGTCAAATCTTTCCACGAGGACACAAAGGGCACAAAGTTTTTAATGGCAAAATCATCAGCACCGTATAATGTTTACAGATGAGTGCGACAGGGCTGCTCCTTTTTTTATTATGTACGAGCAGCTATGCTATGCAGGTCTAGAGATCAGTATCACAGCGACCTAAAAGATCTATTGTGATTGCTGTTATGTCTACAGTTCACTGCTAAGCCCTACGTCCTCAATAAATAGGATTTGCTTAGCTGCGAGTAATTTCACTTCTTCTAAGCGAAGTACATAGTTTCGCAAATGAGTGCTGCGTTTGCGCATTTAAGGTTCGCATTTGTCAGGATGTGTAAAGGCGTTTCCTCCTCTGGGAGCAAAACTGGCACATCCTTAAGTTGCTTATTCCCAGGATGGACATGTGCTTTTTAAGACAACAGTGCCCAGTCAGGGCTCTTACCAGAATGCGCAATTTATTTTTACCTAATCCCAGGACTTCTGAAGCGAATTTACTTATTTATTGTGGTAAAGAGTTGCCGGGGTCAATCGGGCGAGGCTTTTTGAGATTCCACAAAATGGCTCAGGTCCAAGTAGTTTACTCTTTGAGCCCTCCCGTGCGAGATTGTCCGCAGTTTAATTGCCTACAATACCCGCGTGACCCGGAACCCATCTTAAAACGACCTTGTTGTTACCTCCCAGGGCGTTCAGACCGTTCACGCAGTCTCCAAATAGCTTCGAGTTTGATCTCAGCACTAGCAGTGCTGCTTGATTTCCGCACACTGAAGTATGGCGAAAATTTCTGCCCGGAAGATAGAGGTGAATCTACCCAAATTCATACTAAGTTTGAATTTGGGGCGTTCCCCATAAATTACAAAGCCTACGTTGAGGCCCATTTCTGACCTATCGGTATACGATATAAGGCTACCGACCTCACAGATGACCTGTCCATTAAGCCAGTCTTCTCTGGAGGGTAGTTCCACTGTATACTTTTTGTTAAAAGTATATATTGGACACATGATATCTGAGGTCATGCATAAGACCGGTGTTTCCTTGATTGAGTCGAGCATGGATCTCAATCTATAGGAAAGCAAGCTCAAACCGCCCTGAGCGTTAATCCTATACAAACTAGCCTTTGCCTCCTTGTCTAAGTAAAAATCAAGTGGCGTTAGGCCTAGAAGTGCATTAAGAGCCACTCCAGGTGATATTCGCATCGCTCCAGTTGCCATTAAGCAGGCAGTACTTTGTAGAATATTTAGCCTACCCGCAGTCGTCTTTTTATTGGCCTTATTACACCAGACAGTGGAGGCCTAGGTAAGAATCGGCCTCACTTTACTGCTGTACAGCCGTAGGATCATACTAGGACGCAAGTACCAGTTGTTCCCGACCATGCGACTGCATGTACATAAAGCAATTTTAGCATTGTGACATACATTGCTAAGGTGAGAGTTACACATTAGTTTTTGGTCGATTGTTATGCCTAAGTACTTAACTTCAGAGGAGATTTCGATTTAAGATTCAGAAGATATTCGCGATTATAAGAGCTATTTCTTTATCCTCCAGTGCTTTTTCAACCCTGTCAATAACAGTGATCAGGGCTGTTTCCGTAGATTTGGCTCTGCAGTAAGCATGCTGGTTGTAGTGTATAGGTCTCGTAGCTAGAACTACATCCCTAATATATCTATCTATAACCTTTCAAATGTCTTAAACTCCTTAGCCCCTATGGTAGTATTATACACATTTATAGTTAAAATTAAGATCTGCATTTGGCGACAGTTAACAAGGTATCCATCTACATAAGAGGGCTGACAGGAAAAATTCATCATCTCATTCCTTAGATCAAAAAGAAACCTCGAGAATCTTTTCGTCGCCAGCCTTCTCTGTACTGATGCTGCCTTCATTGCTAATATTGAGTGTGAGCTCCAGTTAACGATGATCCACTTCAGTGGCATTAGTGATTTCACTAAACACACATTTCATTAGGCACACCGCAAGCACTGTTAACAATAACGAACAATCTCTCGCTCAACGCAGAAGTTGAAATTTGTATCAACAAAGTGGCAACCATGTTTGGGAAGTTTAGTGCTAGAATATGACATAACAAGTAACTGACCACTAAGACTAAGATGTTAATCTTTCAGGCATATATCTCAAGCATGCTCTTGTATGGAACTGAAAACAAAATCAGAATGTCGTATGAACTCCTACATGCTCTGACTACATAACATCTTAGGTATATTAAGATGGAACTAAGATGGAATGATTCACAATAAACAGGTGAGAGGGTGGTACACACCCTGACTAACTCCTAAGCAGAAAAAGAGCTCCACCACCTAGTAAAAAGAAGTCCTTCCACCTAGCACAGTATTAGCAACTATGAAACTGTAAACTCTGTAACATAACAAATAATAATAATAATTTGGAAATATGACAGTCAAACAATTATCAAGATTTAAAGGTGAGTCCTACCCTGAATTAAAATATTACAGCATTATTATTAAAATATTGTTTGTTTTATACACTTATAATACCTAAAACCAGGTGTATTTAAATCAGAATAATAATTAAAATAACTATATGCTTTCTGTTAACTTTGTCAATAATTATAACTTTTAACAAAAAGTAAAACCGACTTCAAATTGCTAAAAAATAAGTTATTTATTTGCTACCCTTAGGGGTGGAATTTTTTTCTCCAAATTTATATGGGAGCACCATTGAAGTATAACCTATTTAATAAAAAAATAATCATTAAAATCAATTCCCAATCTGTGACAATATCATATGAAATTCCTTAAACAATAGTCCACTATTAATGGGACCACTCTTGAGATAAAGCCTATTTAATAAAAAAAATATTAATATCATGTAACATACATACAAAGAAAAATAGAACGTACACTCGAATTGAGAACCTCTTTTTTGAAGTCAGTTAAAATACAAAAACAACTTATATGGATATGAAGCAAGCAAGCAACCAAGCTGGAGGCTGCAGTTATTTAATCCCATCACAGGGGGTTGATCTGTACATCTTATCTCTCATCTAGTTACCTAGCTCTCATAGCAGGATACTAATAAATGCTTATATCTCATTATATCTAACTTACCACTAGCGACAGGATATTTCTTTTTTTTTTACACTACACACTACACTACGACTACACTTCCTAAATTGAATAGAGACGGTTTGACTTTGATGCTGAGTTTTCACTTTTCAAAGAAAGGAATTATCTGGTTTATTTGCCTATAGTTCTAACACTTCCAACAGTACTAAAACGTTGAATTAACTATAATTGAACTAAAATTAAATAACCCCACTTTATAGTTACATACAAATAAATATTTTTTTTATGAGTAAAATCAGAGAGAAGTCTTAAAATGTAATAAAGGTAAAATATAAAACCTTGTTATTTTCTTTTTCCTGTTTGGTATAATTTCTAACTGCAAGTCTTCGGATTCTTCATCACTAGAAAGGTCCAATAGTCGAAAGTTTTCTTTATTTATTTTAGAAGGCAACATATTGAGTTTTTATTCACACACATCCCTCCCAATAGATTGATAAGTCAATACTATTTAAATATCCGGTACATTTATGTAGAAGGACAAAATTCTTTAACCACTTAATGTTTATCATAAAAGCTAAAGCCTAGCGTAAATCAAAAACCAAAAATTAAATGAAAGGTTATGTACATATCAAAAATCAAAACAAAGCATACTATCAGATTTTTTTTTTAAACTGGCTTTACGGCTCTGGGTTCTAACCCTTCTGAGCCTGCATACTATCTGATATACAATCAAAGTAAAAGAGTATAGTATATTGAACGTAGTGATTATATTCTCTTTGGAGTATATAATCACTACGTTTTACATAATAGAAATAAAGTCACGGTGAAAAAATCACAATGATCGGCCGCCTAAAAGAGTCACAGTGACTCATAAAATAACGACGGCACAGCAAAAGAAACGACGTGTAGCAATAGGTACTGGTAACTGTTAAAGGTATATAAAAAGCACTCTGTGGGTAACTGGAACGGTAGACCGGTAATTGGCTAGGTTAGGTGAAAGGCGTGATATATCTAAAAAGGTTTTTTTTTAAACTAAAACTAGAGTAAAATTTAACATAGCCATGCAGTTATTTAGGTAATAAAAAAGGACTACTAAAGTAAAACCGAACAAATTACTAAATCCCGTGCATATAAAGTCACATTTTATGACATCCCAACGTACACGTTATTATCGTGACAAACTGAAGGATATTTTTCATTGGGACTTCAATGTAACCGGAACAACAGTAGCAAAATAACGACTTTGCCCATCTCTAGTGTATAAAATATAGCATTCCATAGTACCAGTGGCGGATTTACCAGCAGGCTGTGGAGGCCGGAGCCTAGGGTAGCAGATTTTAGGGGGTGGCAAATTTGGAACCAAATTTTTTTTTGTTTTACAAAAATTAAAAATATTATAGGTATATTTATATACCTAAATGTTATTAGGTTCACAAACAATTCAACATGTAATATGTTTCACCACTTAGATAAACTACTACTGTTACTACATTTTGCGTAATCGCGTTTGATTGTGGCGCTGACCATTCGCTAAGTGTCTGACCGAAATGCCGAATTGACTACATAAGCGCTGCGCCCCCGAGAGAAAATATAATATCTTTTATTTTAGTTTTTTAATAAAGTTATTAGTATTAGGTCAAAGCGACAGTGGAGCTGGGTATAAAAAGAAGGTCAAAATGAAAAAAAAAGAACAAGGATAGATTATACTTAAGCGATAAAATCGACAGTTTTTTTAAGGTGGATGTAGAAATAGTGTTGAAAGACCAGGAACTTCAACAACATGCACTGCCATAATACAATCAGGAAAAGATGAAACCGATTTGAACTCTGTGGCTCAACAACAACAAATCACATGTTAAACAATCTACTTTAGAAGAAAAAACGGATTTTATATTTTTGACGAATAGGCGGAGAGGAATCATCAATAAGTATAACAATTGAAGATGCGTCTCAGAATAAGAAGTTAAGTAATAATCGAGTGCAAACAGCAATAAATCTAAACAAAGATCCAGCTTTCTGGAAAATCAATGATACCGTAAGGGAGATTATCGCAAGGTACGGCTTTGATCGATCGATACATTTTAGAACTTACGTTTTGGAAACAGACGAAACCTGTGAAAGATTTCTAAAGTTTTTTCTCAGTGGGGCTGCTAAAGCTAAGCTAAAGCTGAAGAAGTGTTTTCTGCCATTATTTCGAAACTAAAAATACTGGTAATAACTATTGACAATCATATGAAGACTGTCGTAGTGGTTATCACGATCATGTCTGGTGTGTACAATGGCTTAATATTGGCTAAAATTCAAAGCCAAGCACCTTTTGCTTTCTTCGTTCCTTGCTCTGCCCACTCTTTATATTTAGTGGTCACTGTGCCTGCTAAATCATGCACAGAAACTTGTCGCTTCTTCATCTTGTTTAAAAATCTACATATTTTTTGTAAGTTCAACACAACGCAGCCAAAAATTATTGACTGAAATAGGGAAATTGAAAACTAAAGTTAGTAAAATATTACCTTGCGTACATCCGCTCGATAAAATAAAATGATGTGTCTTACCTAGTTTGAAGAGCACCTCCCGCCCTCCCTCAGTAGCGACTACGTCATGCGATAAAACATGCGACCAATCACTACCTGACGTACGCAGCCACTTGTAAAATTCTAAACAAACCGCCGCGCCCGGCCCGCCTACCCTCCAACCACGCAACCAATCGCCGATCACGGTGTGTGTGACAAACGGCTATATTGCGAGGCTGTCTGTTATTAGAGAGCAGGCTTAAAGATATATAAGAGAGGTGATTTAGAAAAAAATGTTTATTGATTCAGCAGTGCAACGTTACTATTATTTTTTTAATATCTCTAACTGTTCCAGCACACACAGTTGCAGCTTGTTGATTAGGTTGTGTCCAGTGTCCAAAATATGTTTAGCAAAGTGGGATTTATCGGGATTTCAATTCTTGTACGCGGCTAAATGCTCTTTATAACTTGTTTCGAAGTTGCGACCATTCTAAACCACGTAAACGACGTGGAATTCGTCACAAACAAGTTTGTAAACACCTGACTTTTGACGAATATCCAACTTATCTTTATTATTACAGATATTCCTAAAAGAATTGTTTGTTTTGAACGCCAGATAAATAATCTCGGGGAAATGAATGATCTTCTTAACTTAACCTCTCTCTGTATAAAACAAAACTATTTCCGGTTTAATAACCGTTTCTATCTACAAAAAGAAGGATTACGTATAGGGTCCCCCTAAGTCCCCTTATGGCGGACATTTTCATGGATAATTTCGAAAAACAACATATAGCTGTCAATCAAAATATCTTATATTACTATAGGCATGTAGACGACATAATTATTTAATGGACTGACGCAAGAAGTTTTCCTTAATAAAATAAATAGAGTCCATGACATAATTAAACCTCGACTTAAAAATAACAAGAAAAGAGTCATCACATGTTTTCCAAATTTATCGAAAGCCAACTCATACCGATATGGTCATCCCCGCGTAATCATGTCATCCGTGGCAACATAAATTAGCCGCTTTTTATTGTTATATTAATCGTTTGTTCACTGTCCCATTAAGTAAAGAAAATTATTTAAAAGAGCTTAATGTAATTTATCAAATAGTGGATTCTAACGGTTTTTTCCCGTTTAGTGGCGTGTAAGAATACCTATTACCCCATATCTTCCCGTGGGTGTCATAAGAGGCGAAAGAGAGAAACTAAGGCAGAAGATGCGCAACAGCATCTTTCTGATAAGAGCAAAACAACAATAAATAAAACTGCGATTGCCAACAGCTCGGCAAGAATGGTAACTATGGCAATATACCCCCATGATGAAATTTACGAAGAGATGGCCCCCAGTCTACGGTCTACTACGGTGGCAACAATGGTAACAGCGGGGCAGGGGGTGCTCAGAATCTTCGGTGAAGGTTCGGTTGCCACCTAAGACGATTCGACCTGGCAACATACAACGCACGCACCCTGAGGACTGACGAGAAGATCCTGGAGTTGGAAGAAGAGATATACAAGTTGCGCTGGGATATTATAGGATTATCCGAGGTCCGAAGAGAGGAGGAAGACACGGTAATCCCTGAATCCGGCTGAATTGTTCTATTACTGGGAGGGCGATCATCTGTCCCAAGCATGTGTCGGACTTATCGTCCACAATTTTCTCGTTAACAACATTGTAAAGATTGAGTGCATCGACGAGGGTTGCGTACCTTATACTCAGAATCACCAAACGGTATTCTCTGAAGGTCATACAGGTTTACTCACTAACCTCGGCACATCCCGATGAGGAGGTGGAGAAAATGTATGCGGATATCTCTAGAGCCATGCATTTCTCCAAACCCCACTATACGGTGTTAATGGGAGACTTCAACGCAAAACTAGGCATAAAAGGGAACAATGGTAGGGCAATATGTAGTAGAGAAACGGATTCCAAGGGTCCAGCATCTGGCCGACTTCACAGATAGAAGACATTTTATGATGAACTCTTTCTTCCAGAAGTGACCCCACAGGAAGTTGACCAGGTCGAGCCCCGACGGTTAAACAAAACATGAGATAGACTTCATAATGACAACCAGACGTCAACTGTTCAGTGATGTCTCGGTGATCGCGAGGATGAAAACTGATAGCGATCACCGAGTGGTTAGAGGCACACTGAACTTAACCGTTAAGTTAGAGAGTTCTTGTCTAATGAAGTCAACACTCCGTCCCCCTCGTGCTTTAATCCAGAGTCCTGAAACCTTTCAACTCGAGCTACAAAACCGTTTTAAGTTTTTTTTATAGGAGAGGGGGCAAACGAGCATGGGGCTCACCTGATGGTAAGCGACTACCGTCGCTCATGAACAACTGCAACACCAGGGGAACCAGGGGAATTGCAGATGCGTTGCCGGCCTTTTAAAAAGGAGTAGGCTCTTTTCTTGAAGGTCTCTAAGTCGTATCGGTCCGGAAAAATCACTGGTGGTAATCTATTCCACAAGGAAGTTATGTGAGGAAGAAACATTATCTAAACAACACAACCGCCTATAGTCTAGATGGTCTGGATGGTATCGGGAGTTCTGCCGCGATGTGCGCTCGTCAAATTTGGTGGTGGTGATTAATCCGAACAATTCCTCAGAGCACTCTCCGTGGTAAATGCGAAAGAAAATGGAAAGGGATGCAACATCTGTTCGCAGCACCAATGAATCGAGCCGATCGGAAAGGACTCGGTCGTCGACGATTCGAGCCGCTCTGCGCTGGATGCGGTCAAGTGGAAGGAACTGGCACTGGGGAGCCCCAGCCCAGAGATGGGAACAGTATTCCATGTAAGGCCGAACCTGCGCCTTGTAAAGTTGCAGGCGTTGTGCCGGCATGAAATACTGTTCCGCTCTGCTGAGCACGCCAAGCTTTGTAGAGGCCAATTTGGCCTTCTCTTCCAAGTGACCACGAAACTGCACGTCACTCGATATGTCGACGCCGAGGATTCCGATACTGGCTGAGGCAACAAGGGGAGTGCCTGAGGAGAAACGACAAATGGGTTCTTTCCAGCGGTAAACTCGCAAACTTGTGTTTTATGAGGATTAAACTGGACTAGATTTAGTCGCCCCCAATACGAGACTTTCTTCAGCAAAGACTCGA